CATTAACACAGCCTTGAAAAGCTGACTCTCAACAAAGTTATTGTATTTTAAAATAAAAATATATAACAAACTAAAATGTGTATGCCTGTTAGCAAAAATATTTTAAGAGCTTACTACAACTAGACAAAAAGCATTACTGACATAACATTTTTTTAAAAAAGAAACACATACATGAATAAAATTTCTACAAATTTATTATTTTGTTAAGAACTAGTTTTCTCCTAATTTAGAAAGTATTTGATGGGTGGTGGTGGCGTAGCGCTCGCCTTTAATCCAGCACTCAGGGAGGCAGAGGCAGACGGATCTCTGTGGGTTCAAAGCCAGCCTGGTCTACAGAGTGAGTTCCAAGTCAGGCTCCAAAGCAATACAGAGAAACCCTGTCTCAAAACACAAAAAAGAAAAAAAAAGGTATTTCTTTCTTTGTGAGTGTACTGCACCATGTGAAAACAGTGACAATGAAAGCCAGAAGAGGGGATGTGGGATCCTCTGGGACTGGGGTTACAGATGGTTGCAAGCTGACGTGTGGGTGCTAGGAATTAAACCAGGGTCCTCTGGAAGAGCAGCCAGTGCTCTTAACTACTGACCATCTCTCTTGCCCAAAGGTTTATTTTTTCTTATGTAAATGTTTTGCCTGTATAGATGTGCACCACGGATGTGCCTGGTGCCTAGGGAGGTCAGAAAAGAGCCTTAGATCCCATGGAACTGGGGTTATGGATAGCTGTAAGCCATCATGTGGGTGCTGAGAACTAAATCAGGGTTCTCTCCAAGAGCAACAAATGCTCTTATCCACTGAGCCATCTCTCTAGCCCTCTTCTTCTAATTTTTAATCTATCTCTAGCTGACAGTTCCTGTTAACCATCTTTTCCCTTTACCTTCAGTTTCTCTAGGTAAAGAAATTTATATCTACATACAAAAATTTGAAACCACTAGAGAAGAGCCAGGTATGTTGGCATACAATAAATGGCAGCATTCAATGGGCTAAGCCAGAGGATTCTTAGAGTTCAAGGCCAGCCTGAGCTTCATGAGTTTGAGGCTTGCCAGTGTTATAATGAGACTGTCAAAAACAGACAAATAAATAAAGCCACCATAGAAACCACCTATTTAAAGAAGCCCTCAAAGGGTTTAAAGAATCCTTTTATCTGTGATACTGATAATTATTCATACGTTGCATGTTTTATATGAGTTTGTATTTTTTTAAAAAGCACAAACAGACACGCACACGCACACGCACACTCTCTCTCTCATCTCAAAAAAGGATGCATAATTAGAGTAACAATCACCTAACCATTAGGCTATAATTAAAGCAGTACTCAGTTTTAGACTCTCTGCTTATGCACAAGTGAAGAGTTTGGAGAAATTTCAGAATTATAAAAATAAAAGGTTTAAAAAAAAACTAAGTGAAGGAAAATTAGAATGGTTATTGTGCCTAAGAGAATACCAGGAGTGACTCAACAGCCCACAAGGACATGAAGAAATATCCATTTCAGTGAGCAGCTGGTCTGAATTTCCACAGCAGGTGATTTTGTTTAAATTATTACACCAAGTATTTCAACACAGAAGTGTCTCACCTAGGATACGTATCATACAAAATCCTGTGAAGCCTGTTGTTCACCTCTCCCACCTTTACTAACTCAACTTCTCATCTCCAATAGGTCAATGGGTAGGTAAGGCATCTTTGGAATGTTAAGATGTAGGCTTCTTTTAGGTCTAGCTATGTGAAAGATTTGTTATTACCTTCTGTCTCCTAGAACTCAATATAAAGTTGAATCTTTCTGAGCTACAAAAAAAAGGAATTCATTAGTACCAAACATTCACTGGACTTGGATTCAAGGTTCTTAGAGGACCTAGTAACTGTGTTCAAAATGGCCAATTTTCCTTCAAACAGAAGTAACTGAACTTGTTGAAAATTACAATTAATAATAAAAGGAAATCATCCACACAATGCTATCACCCAGAGACAGGAAGATCACAAGTTCCAGGTCAGCATTGGCTACAAAGTGAAACATTGTCACACGTAACAGAATAAGTGGGAAAAGGGGATAATTAGTTAGATATGGTGAACCTTTTTCTTTCATATTTATGTCTCATTTTCGTCTTAAAGAGCTCTTGAATCCTGAAGTCTTGTATTTTGACTACCCTACCCTATACCTACCTAGCTGAATACTATCTAAAATAGTGTTAGAACTTTATTTTATAGCCACCTTTTCAAGTTATTCTCCTGTTTATTCTGTAATACTGCTGCCAATGAAGACTGTATCTCTTGATCACCTTTCCTTTATCTCACAGAAATGCCTATTCTTCCTATTCCCTTAGATATCTTTTAGTCATCTTATTCTCTAATGATGAAAAAATTCTTAATTTCTTTAATTCAGCTGACTTTTCTATTTAAAACCAAATATCACTCTTAAGTCTCTGTAATGTCCTCAACTTTTGAACACATTGTTTTTTATACCATTGTTTCATTTTAAATTAAAATTAAAAGCAGGTTTTCTAGGAGGACAAGGTCCCATATTGATCAGGTTGGCCTCAAATTCACCATTTAATGAAGGCTGGCGGTGAACTCCTGATTCTCCTGCCTCCACTCTCACATGCCCGGATTACAAGCATGTGCTATCATGTCCAGCTCTAAAACTATATTCAATTTACCAAATGACAAGATCCCTACCTCCCTCATTCCAACCTTCCTGAAACCCACTCTGTACAACACCATATTAGATGAAAACATAGACCCATCAGAAGTTCTCAGGATTTTACCCACCGTTCTGTCCACATCAAATCTGTTTGAAAAACAACACAATGAAGCAACATCAAATGAGGTAAAAGGACAATGAAAGAAACTGTTGGTGATATGTGGGTGTACCAGAGGATGGGTCTTTATGTATGTTTATGTTTTGACACATTACATATGCATATATAAACACACATAATGTAAATACATTCAACTCAAATTAGCAAAACTCCACAAACGTAAAAATCAAATCTGCTAAATCTGACCTAAACCACAGAGTATTATATGGCTACTTCCTGGAAAGAGATGCATTATTTATGTGACAAAGTCAGTTATAAGTTACAAGAAACCATCGGTAAACTACAATAAGCAGCCCGGATTCTGCTTTTCTATAATGTAATATAAATGCAAAGCTTACTCATCACCTCAGGACAATGGCAATGTTGCATGACTTCTACACAATACCCAGCATGCACTCAACACTAGGAAATAGTAAATTTACAACTTAAGGAGGAAAACGGAGGCTTGCTTCACAGTGGTTTAATATGAACAGAGTTGAATATGACATTGTCTGACAGAAGAATGAACAGTTTGCTGAATAAAAGCCCCGAGTCAGGATATATACACAGCAGAAATGGGGCCTCAGAGTCTCAGCACTTGTGCACAATGAAAGAAGAAATATTGAAAAAAATATCTGTAACAGAGGATACAAATCAAAAGGCAGCAAGGACACAGACACTGGTGAGGTGGGAGAGGGGCTGCTCAGCCCCCAGCATGGGCTCAGCAGCTAGAGAGCTAATCTATCTCAAGGATCTTCAACACTGAGATGGGCTCCAAGACCCATGTCAAAATCTAATCCTGATCTCTCTGACCAGAATCACACCAGAATCAGCAATCCTTTTCCCCAAGGACCCACATAGAAAACACAAATCTTTCCATGATAGGGAGTCTAAGCAAAGAGTCCCAACTTTCACCTGGCACCAGAGTTAACTTGCTCTCATCCCACCATTTGGACAGACAGCAGGTCCCAGCAAATAAACCACCACCTTCCAAACAATAGCCTAGGAGAGTTGCCACCCTCAAAAAGCTGTTTTAGCCTTTAAGATCTGGGAACTCTATATCTAGCTGCTAGCCCTATTTCAATTTCTGGGAACAATACTGGAGTTCCATGGGAAACAAGTGCAGACAGTTCAATAACCCTGTGACCAAGCTGGGGAAGGCAGCAAACAACTCTTAACTCTTGCCTCTGAGCCCCAGTCAACAGCTCAAAGTGCTTAGGAGAAATCAGAAACTGTGTTGTGTGTGCTTCTACCCTTGGGACAACACTAAATGAGATGGGAAAAGGAGGAATGGAAGGAGGAAAGTGATGTTGCTCTTCCTTACCACGTAGAGGAACCTAGAACATGACTCCCTCCACCATTCAGGAAGTCACCTGGCAGTGGTAAGTTGCTCTTATTCCTCAAAACCCACAAAACTAACCCATAAAGTCACAAGGGTTGAGGAGGGAAAACTGCTGGCCCATAATGACTCATTAGCTAGTGAGCAAAATATAGACAGCCAGAGTAGGGAGCCATAAAGGGATAGGAGCTAGGCAATAAGAGCAGCCTACTACCCTATGGCTTTCTTGACTTTGCAGTAACCATGATGATGGGCCCATAAAACCCATACACCCTGATCCACATATCACACTGCTTAAACTCTAGGAGGATTACTGCCATGAAAAGCAACAAGGGAGAGTAAACCAACCAAAAAAAAGACTGCTGAGGAAACTGGGAGCAGGCCTAGAAAAAAACAAGTTTTGGGTCTTTACCACCTTCCCCCCAAAAGGAAACTTTTCATGCAGGTAGGAAAAGCAGAGATTCTCCCTATTCAGTGTTCCTGGTAAAACCTAAGAATAAGAAAAAGCCCCTAGACTTGCAGCATCAGTAATATATCCCAGTGCCTCACCAGCACAAACCCCCTCCCCCCAAGGTTAGCCTTCTGGCATGAGTAAAATGCCCAAAAATTGCCTTCCAGTCCAATCCCTCCCCACCCCAACCCCAAGCAAAGAACATCTGCCTGTGGTTTCCCACCTCTCTTCAGAGAAGAGACACTAGCAGAGTGCCCACATGGTGTAGTCTGATACCAAGGGGCATAATGCAAGACGGTCTATCAGGCCAGGGGATGGGCAGCCAACTTCAGATCAAAGAGAGAGAGGCTTAGTGTAAAAACCAATGTCATTTCAGCAGGTAAAGTAGAGGGCAAGTGGTGAGAGGGACTCCTACTGGCGCACCTTCCCAGGGACGTAGTTCCTATCAATTGCCTCCTCCTGCAGGAACATGTGTAGACAGCGTTCATTCTGAGCCAGTGGGTGCCCAGCAATTCTATAAAGAGACCAAAATGGTTATCAGTAGTTTCTGGGATCAGAGAGAATTGGCAGGGGAATAGGAATGTGAAAAGAGGAGAAAGGGCATAGTCAGCCCTTAGGTTTGAGCCTCTAGAGGACAGCAGTGGGGTATGATGACTTAAACTGTAATATTGTAGAAGGGAAACTGAACAGAAGGGCAGGGTAGGGAAATTCTAGTTAAAAGGGTTAACATGCATTACACTCTTGGGTCTTGATATACAGGATCAGAATTTATTCACAGGAATGGAGTTTTTACTATCCAGTTTGCCCACTACATCATATTACCTATTACAAAAAGACTAAGTAGAAAAAAAATACAGATCATGATGGTCTGGGAGTATAATAGTTTAGAAGTAGAGTGCCTGCCTAACATAAACAAGGCTGTGGAGTCAATCCCCAGCAAAAAATGGAAAGAGGACAGTAGGAACAAAGCAGTAAGGGGGAGGGGGAGAAAAGTAGGGAGGGGAGGGAAGGGAGAAAGATTTTCATGAAGGCAAACACAGTAAGCAGAGCAGCCAGGAAATTGCCTTACTTGTTAATAAACTGTTCGAGGCCCTGCCTCCTTTCTTCAATGAAAGACTCCTCAAAGATCCCTTCATCTCCTCGGAAAGGGAGCTGCCGCTTCAGGGCTTTCCCAGGCAATGGTGGTACTACAATCTGCAGTCAAATAGCAACCCAGTTGAAGAAGGCAAGAAAGAAAAAAGCAGGTGAGAAAATAAAGGATGTGCTCTCTTTCTTCTCTCTCTCTCTCTGCCTCCCTCCCTCCCCACCCCCCACCCCATAGCTGCAAGGTGGCCTCAAACTGTCTATGTACCCAAGAATGACCTTGAACTTCTGATACTCCTGGCTTCACCTGCCAGGTAAACTGTGTATCTCAATTCTTTTAGGCCTGGGATCCACCATGCCCAGGTCCAGCTAAGACCTTAGAACAGTAACGACGGCTGGATCCAACTTGATTTTTTTAGAAGGATAGATTTACCATCTCAAAAGAAAGGAAATAAACTTAATACACTCTTACTTTAACAATCCAGCACCATCCAAGCATTTAGCCAAGCTTTTGACACATTTTTGCACTTATAGGAGTTACTTTACAATCAAACAAAATAATAGTTAAAAATATTGTTCATGGGACTGAAGAGATGGCTCATCAAGGAAGAGCATTGGCTGCATAAGCATGAGGACCTGAATATGGACTTCAGGATCCAAACAAAAAGGTCCAGTTGGTGGTGGAGGATAGAGACAGGAGGATTGCCAGAGATTTCTGGCCTAGCTCCGAATTCAGTGAGAAGCCCTGTCTAAAATGTGTGAGGCAGATAGAACAAACACACAACCTGCTCCTCTGACCAGCATGTGCCCTTACACCATATACCACACACATTCACACAATTTAAAAATAATAGTCAGCCAAACAGTGATGGTGCACGCGCCTTTAGTCCTAGCACTTGGGAGGCAGAGGCAGGAGGATCTTTGAGTTTAAGGCCAGCCTGGTCTACAGAGCTAGTTCTAGGACAGTCCAGGGCTACAAAAACAAACTGTCTTGAAAAAACAAAAAACAAAACCCAAAACAAAAAACAAAAACCCCCGTCCTAAACCTCTTTCAAGTCTCAATATCCCCCAAGACCAGTATATTGGGATCGAGTCTATAAGAATATGTTCACCCTTCCTATCTATTTCAAGACTTTATGGGCTGTGATCTTATACCCTCTAAGCCTATGCAGACCACCTCCTACAATGGTACTAAATAAGGAATGAGCTGTACCTTACTATCTCGCTCCAGCTCATTTTTCAGCCACTCAAAGTCACTGTAGCGTCGCCGTACACAGGATTCTTTCAGCTTGAAGATGGGTAAGTTTGTCTACAGGGAAGAAAGAATGAATGATGAGAAGCCAGGTGTTATGGCATGTACTTTTAACACTCAGGAGGCTGAAGCCAGAGGATCAGCAGTTTGAGGCCAACCTAGGCCATATAGGGAATTCCAGATCAGCCTGGGCTACATGGTGAGACCCTATCTCAAAAATAACAACAACCAAACTGAAAACAGGCAATAAGTTCTAGTCAACCGACTTGTGGAGACCACCTGAAAAAGTCTCAATGAAGAAACAGCTCCTGTGGGATTGAGGATATAACTCAGTGGTAGGGCACTTACCCATTTTGTAGGAGCACCAAGGCTTGACATCCAGCATCACAAAAAAGAAAAATTGCTCCTATGGACCATATACCTAAAACTCTTCCAAAACCACGAGGTACATATTAACTCTTACCATACCCAATCATATCACAATTGGGGATCAGAAATCCCTTGCTGAGGCTGAAGGGTAGGTAGTTCAGTGATAGAGCACTTGCCTAGCATGCTCAAGGCTCTTGGTTCCACCCACACAGACATAAAACTTTGCTATTTAAAATTTATCTTTCAGAGAAGACTCACGGTCATGTTCTAATGTACATTATATTGGTAAATCATGTGTTATTTGAGCTCCTATGAGTTTCCCACCCCCATTTCAGACTCACATGTTTGTTTCAAAGTGTCCTCCAAGGCCCCTGTCTGGGGATGTGCTTTCCTATCTCTGTGCTACAGAGGAAAGAGAAAAACAAAACACCCCAACAGTAAAAACAGTCTTGAGAACAACTAGAAGGTAAGCTATTTCCAACAGATGTTCATCCTGTGATATAAAAATGCCTGCAGTGGGAAAAAGAAGCTGAAGCTCAGCCATAGAAAGCCCAGCCATGGAGAGAAAGCTCAATCAGGAACTCCAGCTGACAGTCTAACTTCCCCAGATGGTTTCTGCTGGATCTTACGGATGCTTGAAGATGATACCTTTCTGATGTTATTTGTTCTTTTACTTGGAAGCCTCACCCAAGGGGACACTCTGCTGTCTGAGACTGTTTGGAGAACTCCAGCTAGCTGCCTTAAAGTTTCTTCCTCAGTCAATTTCTGCTGGATATGTTGAATACCTGACTTGATAATATTTTGGTATCTGTCTATCTCTTGCTATTTATTCTTTTACTCTGGCTTGCCATATAATTTAAACTTACTCATTCAAAATCAAAAGTATGGCTATATCAGATCATTCTCTAGATCTCTAAGACATGCTTCCCTCTGCCTTCCTATTCCAATCTTTTCTGTAAGTCCTAGCTCAATTCTCACTTCATTCAGAAAGTTTTTCCTGGTAATAGCAGCTGGGTATATTGTGGTCTATATCTTCCCTGATCCCTTCTGACACTAACTTTCCTTGAGACCCTGTCTCTAGCCTAGGCTGGCTTCAAACTCCCTATGTCACTGAGGATAACCTTTAACTTTTGTCTTCCTGCCTCCTTATGAAATTACTGGGTATAACACCACACCCAGTTCATGTAGTACTGGGTATCAAACCAGGGCTTCATACATGCTAGGCAAGTATTTACCAACTGAAATACACCCACATCCCCATTTCTAAGGGTTTTTGTTATGCAGCAGAGGATGACCTTGAACTTCTGATCCTTCCACTCTACAGTTTAAAGTGTCACCTAAGTTTTCTTCATGCTATTTTATGCATCCTGTGTGTTGTCTACATGACTAAATGACGATCTTAAGATCAACCACCTGACTGTTCATAGTGGTGTATCCCTTTAATCCCAGCATTCAGGAGGCAGAGGCAGGCAGATCTCTGTGAGTTTGAGGCCAGGCCACTACATAAAGAGTTCTAGACTAGCCAGGATGATATAGTGAGACACTGTCTCTCAAGCAAACAAACAAAAAATCATGACAACTATTGCTTCCCCAAAAATGTAAAGTATCAATACTCAATTACACAATAGAAACTAGAATGTATCTAGTTACCCCCTTTATCTAAAAAATGCAGAATGAACAGTCTTTTTATAAGTTAGCTTTCTTTAGCTTACTTATTCCTACATCTTAATCATTTCGAAGACTCCTCAGGCTCTAGTGGTAAGACGAACTTATAACATAAAAGTCCCAAATCTTGACGCCTGTCTACAAGTTCTAAATAAAAATGGTCAAATACATATGTTAATCTAGACCATATTTCTTGCCAGCCAATTCAGAGCAATGGGTAGGTAATAAAAGGAGCCATCTCTTCTCGAAACAACTGCCTCTTGTCGAGAAAGGAGTATCTTGGAGTTCTGGTAGAACCTCACATGATCCTTACTACACCAATTTTAACAGTTCCCAAGTCTTGAAATAACCTCCTCAACCAAATAACAGGCCAACTGACATTAGCTCCAACTCTACCTAAAATCTTCAAAGTCCAAGAAACATCAATAGATTTAAATGGAGTCTGATATATATAACATCTAAACAAATTTTTTAAAAGAAAAAACAAAACAGGAGAGGGCAAATCAGCTTTCTTTAGAGTGTGTCCCCCAGGTATGTCCAAAATACTCCAGTGGATGGTCCCACATGGGCAACACAGATTAGACTGGATACTTCTGTTTTGTTTTTAAAGGCAACTCAAAGTTGGAGAGATACAGAGGTGAAGATGGGTCAGGAAAGATACAGGGGGAGAGTAGAAGTAAATATGGTCAAAATGGATTATATGAAATTCTCAAAGAACAAAAATACTTTTAAAAAGGAATAAGCAAGTAACCAAACATGGTGGCAAAGACCTATAACGCCAGTACTTGAGAAGTGGAAATAAGAGGGTCAGTAGTTCCATCATCCTCAGCTACACAGTGAGTTTTAGGCCAGCCTAGGTTGCATGAAACTCAGAAAAAATAACAAAACAAAAGAATAAATAAGAAACTGGAGGCTAGTGAGATTATTGGGCAAGTAAAGGTGCCTGCATCCAAATCTGACAGCCTGAGTTCCACTTCTAGAATCCATATGGTAGGAGAGAACTTAGTCCTGCATGTTGTCCCCTGACATGTCCTGCAACCCTTCCCCTGAACAAAGAATAAATAAATAGAAACATTGTTTCAAAAATTGTAAAGGGACCAGGCAGCAGTGGTGTACGACTTTAATCCCAGCACATGGGGAGACAGAGGGAGGCGGATATCTCTGAGTTCGAAGACAGCCTGGTCTCAGAGTTCCAGGACAGACTCCAAAGGATATACAGAGAAACCCTATCTCAGAAAAATTTTTAAAAAATGTAAAGGAGCTAGAAAGCGTTTAAGAACACTTGTTCATACAAAGGACCCAAATTCAATTCCCAGCTCCCCTGTGGCAGCTCACCACTATCCATAACTCCAGTTCCAGGATGCACATGATACACAGACATAAAATAAATAAATCTTCTTTTAAAGTTTTTAATTTAAAAACTGCCATTTTGTGGGCTTTGACTAAAGAACAAATCAACAAAAACCTGTTCTTTCCTTTCCCTCAAAGAATGGCAAAAATATTGTCCATCACAGCACCTAGCCATCTAAGAAAAAAGCTACTACATATAAGGCTAGTCCTTGGGCTCCAAACTACAATCATATATGGAAGCCAGAATTGTATAACACAGGATATTGAGGGCTTTGGGGTTCTGCTCAGCACAAAATAAAGTAAAAGGAGAGAAAAAAAAAACACAAAATTCAAGTCCACATTGACACATCCATATGAGCCAGGCCTAGTGGTGCACGCCTTTAATTCCAGTATTTGGGAGGCAGAGGCAGGTGGATTTCTTGAGTTTAAGGCCAGCCTGGTCTACAAAGTGAGTTCCAGGGGGCTGGAGAGATAACTCAGAGGTTAAGAGCACTGGCTGCTCTTCCAGAGATCCTAGGTTCAATTCCCAGCAATCACATGGTGGCTCAAAACCATCTGTTATGAGATCTGGTGCCCTCTTCTGGTATGCATATATACATGGAAGCAGAATGCTGTATACATAATAAATAAATAAAATATTAAAAAAACAAAGTGAGTTCCAGGACAGCCAGGGCAACACAGAGCAACCTTGTCTCGGAGGAAAAAAAGAAAAGAAACATCCATATCAATATGTATAATGATGTGAGGCCACCATAGCACCTTTCCATACTCCTCAGGCAGGCAGGATCCATTCCTGAATAAAATTAAAGAGAATAGCTTCATCAATATTTATTATATGGAGCTGAAGGTGTAGATCAATGGAGGAGTGTGCTCAGCATGCATGACCTGAATTAAATCCCTAGCACCAGAAAAATAAATACAAATGATTTTACATATTTTTTCCAAAAGCTAGTTCAATAAAACAGTAAAAGCCTCAAATCAACTCAAATCCACAGAATGAAGAACCACCATCAACTCTATCAACATTATATAACTAGAACTGTGAAAGGGCATGATAAAAAAGCTCAGTGTACATTTCGCATACTAAGTTTTGCAACTAAGCCTTGACCAAGTGGTGGAAGAACATGGACTTTGGAGTTAGAGACTTGGTTTCAAATCCCAGCCCTATCTGATACTGTTATTTGCACTTGGAAAAACTACTAAAACTACATGCTTTCCTGATTTTTACTTTTTAAAAATGTATACAAAAACTAAAACCTACCCAGGTTTACTGACTCACGCCTTTAATCTCAGCACTTGGGAGGCAGAGGCAGGCAGATCTCTGTGAGGATGAAGCCAGTCTGGTCTACAGAGCTAGTTCCAGGGCAGCCAAAGCTGTTACACAGAGAAACAACAAAAAAACAAAGAAAGAAACAAGCTTTCTTCATGCTGCTATCACTTTTACCCCTTCAGTTTAGGGAGTACCATTTCTCCCTAAGATTGTCAAGCACAGGTAGAATACACATTCTTATTCAATTCTTCTAAAAAAATGAGAGTACCATATGTCTCTTGGATCTTCAATGCTATTCAAGAGGGATGCTATTCACAAAGAATATCCTGGGTGTGTAAACTGAGAAGAAAATGCAAGGAAAACTTTTTTAAAAAATGGTTCTTAATTTGTTTTAACGTGTACCACTTCAACAGGGAAAAAAAACTTGTGAACCAGGTACTCTATCTGCACATTCCATCCTTGCCCTATGGACTAAGCACTGTGGACTAAGAGAATAAAGTCCCCTGGGGTGCAAACTGGAAGAAGCCATTCCTAGAGCAGTTCTGAAATGTCATGTATTAAAGTAAATACAGACCAGGGACAGAAAAAGGCAAATGGCGTTTTACAAAAAAAAAAAAAAAAAAAAAAAAAAAAAAAAAAAAAAATGAGAGCCAATAAAAACTGAAGTAAACATTCGGGATACTTCAAATCTAAAGGATCAGCAGAGGATGGGAGCAGCAACTGACAATCCACCAATCCCAGTGCAGGGCCGGGTTTCACGTAAGACACGGCATTGTGGTACCTAAGAAACTTAAGCATAAAACATTTCTCTCTTTCAGATGTAAATCTTAAACAAGTCAGCAAAGCATTCAGTCTCAAGATTGCCTTTCTATTTCTGCTCTCTCTCACAAGCCCGCCGTCTCCCTTTCCAGTAGTCTTTCCTAGAACTAAAAGGGTTTTTTTTTTTTTTAATTCCATCATCCCAGAGAGATCTCATTAGAAAGAAGCCCAAACTTCCCGTTCCCTCACCCCCACCCCCGCCTTTAGATTGACTTCCATAACCTAGTTCAGTTATGGGACCCAGCAATAAATCGCCTTGGTTTTCCATCCCCCAGCCTTCTTCCACCCTCCCCTTTTGTCCCTCTGTCAATCAAGATCCCAATCTACTTGAATTCCTCACTAATCTTTGTCCATCTTCCACACCCTGTCCAGCCATGCTTTACTTCTGCCTCGTGAGTACTTGTTTTCCTGCGCCCCCGCCCGAAGTCCCCTCTGGAGTTTTCTGTACCCTCGGGCCACAACTGAGTCTGCAACCTTCTCTTCAAACCTTTCAAGCCCTAACCCTAATGTAACCCCCTCCAAGCTTCCCCGCCGTTAGTCGTCCCCATGCCCCCTCCCCTCCCGCGTCGTCCGCCCTCAGCTGTCTCCCTCACCCCGTGACTCACCCGCATGCGAACCTCATAGGTGGTGAAGCGCGCGCGGCCCACGCCCACCGTCTGTGGATTAAAGATGTCTATCTCCAGGAAGTTACTTGGCGGCCCATAAGCATCAGTCAGGTCCTGAGGCTTCGAGTTAAGGCGCCGAGTGTCAGCCACTGCCGTGTCCGACATCTTTTCGAAGAAGAGACCCGTACCGGTGAAGGGGGTGGGGGACAGAAGCCTGAGGCAAGAGCGAGCACGGCCCCTCCCGCTTGCAAAATAACCAGCCAACCCACAGACAGCGGCGACGCGCACGCGCACACGCATGCGTGCACGTACACACCGCCCAAGCCTTCAGGCCCGTCGCCCTGAATAACCACCATGCTGACTAGGGTTTATACCTTAGCGTGAAAGCGTCATTCAGACTTCCGGGTGGTACTGGTAAATGCCCCGGAACCTGCATCTGTAATACTCCATATCCAATGCTTTCAGAAGCACCACACTCAGGCTCCACCAATCTGTGTTCCTCAAATTCCAGAAACTGTCTCGTCCCGTGCATCAATCAGCAGTGGGCACTGCCCCGCGAGCTATTATCCATAGGTGATAGGCTGAAACCCCAGGTCCTAAATAAGTACATTCCATGAAAATAGGAGAATGGTTTCTGGAAGGTGGGGTTCCAACAACAGTACCAAAAAAATGTAGAATGCAGCCCCACCTCTTGTGCCACTGATAGTTTCAGTTCAAGCTACACACAATTGAGTATTCGATAAGAAATACATTATGGTGCCAGAGAAGCAGCAAATTCGAATTGGGTGAACAATAATGATTTCATATTCTCGCTTTTCAGGAATAGTGGGTGTATCTTCATTCTCCACATGTTGCTACATAACAACTAATTCCAGGTGTACTCATTTCTTTTATTTCAGGGCACTTATTTCGTAATTTCTGTCTATATTCTGAAGAACTCCATCCACACTTGGCTATGCTCTGAGCTTCCTTGCAACCTATGATGAAGATATGTGTCTATATGAGAACATCTATAGAAAAACATAAATACATATGTATAAAATGTATTTGCACACAGGTACATGCTGAGACAGAGTCTTACATTTATCCCAGCTGGCCAGGCACTTGCTATGTAGGCCAGGCTAGCCTCAAACTTGTAGCAATGCTCTTGACGATGCCTCTTGGTTTCTGGTATTACTGGTCTGTGTCACCATGTCCAGCTAGGAATATTAGTTATGTGATGTTTTGGTTTTGTTTTGTTTTGAAACATTGTCTTACGTATTCCAGGCTGTTTTCAAACTCACTTTGTAGCCGAGAATGACCTTGTACTTCTGACCCTCCTACCTGTGTCTCCCAAATGTTGCGATTATAGGCATGCTCCACTACACCCAGTTTTGCACAGTGCTGGGGATCAAATTCAGGGTCTATCAAACAAGCTACATCCCCAGTCCTTCAATATACATTTTAAAAAACTGGCTTATGCATGTCCAATATTTTTAATTATTTTATTATTATTTTGATTTTTAAATAAGTATTTTTATGTGTCTGCATAGATGTTCATGAAGCAGGTCCATGCAGTGCCCAAGGAGTCCATAGGAGGAGGTCAGATCCCCTGGACCTGAAGTTATAGATGGTTGTGAACCACCATATGAGTGCTCGAAATCAAAGCTGGGTCTCTGCAGGTGTAGCCAGTGCTCTTAACCACTAAGACATTTCTCCAGTGCTACATGTCCCATATTAAGGGGTAGACAAGTGGAAATTTTAGGTCATCTTTCCTTTTCCCTTCACCTAACTTCCCCTCCTAAAAAATTCTTATATCGCTGATGATTGAATTCTTTCAACAAACCACATGGGTTTACAATTTGACAATTAAGTTATTTAGTTCAATATAACTGAGATTTATAAACTACTTATGTGGCAAGCACTATGCTTAATTTCCTTTTTTGTTTTTTCTAAATCTCTGTGTAGCCTTGACTGTCCTGGAACTCACTCTGTAGACCAGGATGGCCTTGAACTCACAGAGATCTGCCTACCTCTGCCTCCCAAGAGCTGGGATTAAAGGCATGTACCATAATGGCCAATCATGAGTTAACTTTCTAAGCAAAGACAAGTAAACAAAACTAATGTGACAAATATAAACAAGCATTCAAAGTAGCATATAGAAGCTATGTAACTGAACTGGGCATGGTGGTACATGCCTATGATCCCAGGAACTGGGAATCACAGGAGTTTCAAGAGTTCAAGGCTACCCTCTGCCATACAGCATGTCTGAGACCAGCCTGGGCTATAATAGACCCCTGTTTCAACAACACAAAACAAAGGCATATATATTTGGAAAAATTGGAGAAGACTTCCTAGAGGAGGATACATCAGAGTTTAACACATGGAAAGGTATAAAGGATGGGAGCTGGAGAGATAGCTCAGCAGTTAAGAGCACTTATTGTTCTTGCAGAGGACCTGGATTTGATTCCCAACACCCACATAGCAGCTCACAACTCCAGTTCCAAGACATCCACTGCCCTCTTTTCACCTCCTTATGCACCAGGCACACTTGTATACAACACTCATATACATAAAATTTTAAAATCTAAAAAAAATACTTTTTTAAGGCATAAAAGGAGAAATAGTGGAAATGGGGAAAGGCAATTTCTGGCACAGGAAATAACATATGTAAAGCCATCACAGGAAGAAACTCTACTGTATTTTTAGGCAATTATCACCAATTCAGATTGTGTAATGGAAATGTTTTGAGATGTAGGGTGTCTGGTGCTGGACAGAAGAGAGTGAGCCCTCTATATTAAGCAGAGTATCCTCTGACTTTATGAAAGGTGATAGGGAGCCACTGAAGGATCTTAAGAGAAAAGAAATGAGAATGGTATGATCCTATTGTTTCATAGAGACTTTTTTGAATAACATGGAAAAATGTATTTAAGTTGAATGCAACGAATTACGAAGGAACCAACAAAAAGAGAATGATGAGGACTAGAGTGATGGCTCAGTGGTTAAAAGCAATTACTGCTCTTTCAGAAGGCTTGGATTCAGTTCCCAGCATCCACATTGGGTAGCTCACAACTTGGAGTAGCTTGAGCTCCAGGAGTTCTGAGGTTTTCTTCTAGCTGCTGAGTGTGCTTGCTTGGTGAACATACAGAGAAGCAGGCACATACATGTATTCATAAAAAAGCTAAAGAAGTCGGGCAGTGGCGCACACCTTTAATCCCAGCACTCAGGAAGCAGAGGCAGGCAGATCTCTGTGAGTTCGAGGCCAGCCTGGTCTCCAGAGCGAGTGCCAGGATAGGCTCCAAAGCTACACCGAGAAACCCTGTCTGGAAAAACCAGAAAAAAAAAAAAAAGATGGGAGAAAAGGGATCAAGAGTTTCCGAGCACAGTTTTGAATGGAGCTCAGTTGTTAGAGTGCTTGCCTAACATGCAATAAACTCTGGGTTCTAGTCTCAGCACAGCATTAAACTAGGTGTGCTGCCCCATGCTTGTGATCCCAGAACTGAGACAAAAGCAAGAAAACCAGAAGTTTCAGATTATCCTTGGCTACACACCAAGTTCCAGTCTAGTCTTAGCCTTAGACTTGAGCCCTCAACCCCTTAAAATAAAGATGGGACTAGAGAGATAGATGTTCAACAGTTAAGAGTTTCTATTGTTCTTGCAGAGAACCCCAGCTCAGTCTCCAGCACACATACCAAGAGGCTCACACCCACTTGTAGCTCTAGTTTCCGGTGATCCTAGGGTCTCTTTTGGTCTGTGCAAGTAAAAACACACACACACACACACACACACACACACACACACGCGCGCATAAATAAAATATAAATAAAATAAATACTTTAAAATTTTTAAAGAGTTCAAAGTCATCTTTGTCTCAAAAAAAGGTGATGTCTCAAAAAAATGTGTGGTGATGCATACATTTATTTACTTACCATTTATTTTCGAGACAGTGTTTGTCTGTGTAACAGCTCTGGCTGTCCTGAAACTCAGTCTGTAGACCAGGCTGTCCTCGAACTCACAGAGATCCATCTGCCTCTGCCTCCCGAGTGCTGGGATTAAAGGTGTGTGCCACCACTGCATCACCACTGTCCAGCTGATGCACATCTTTAATATCAGCACTAGGGAGGTAGAGGCAGTAGGATTTCTGTGAGTTTGAGGCCAATTTGGTCTACATAGAGAGATTTAGGTTAGCTAGTGCTACATAGTAACACCCTGTCTCAAAACAAACAATCAAAAAAGTGTTATGATGGCTGAAGACAACCTCGAGTCTGAGTCTGGACTAAAGATTTTAATTCAGTGGTAGAGTATGTGGTAAGCATGTGTGAGCCCATGGGCTTAAACCCCAACACCCCCAAAACAAAATACAATATTGTTCCATGCTTGTTGATATGGAATAATGTACATTAAAATGTAAGAAGGGCACGTAAAGAGAAGGTTCAGTGGTTAAGAGCAGTTGCTGTTCTTGTGGAGGACCAGGGTTCTGCTGCCATGGCTCACATGGCAGTTCACAACCATCTATAACTACAGTTCCAGGGCCGTCTATCCTCTCTTCTCACATCCATGGGCACTGTATGCACATGGTGCACTTACATACATACTGTTAAAACACTTATACACATAAAATAAATCTTAAAAGATAGAAAGTACAGTAGAAAATGATAGAGGGTGTTGGCATCTGGCCTCCACATGCATAGGTATGTACACCCCCTACACTCACACACACCCCACACACACACACTCACACCCCCACACACACACACACTCACACACACTCACACACACACAAAGTGAGAAAAATCCAGGCATAGTGATGCATGTCTGTAATCCCACCACTTGGGGGAAGAGACAGGAGGATTGTACTAAATTACAAACCAGGGCATCCTGGATTACAGAGTGAGAATTTGTCTCAAAGCAACATTTCTGAAAATGAGAAAAGCTCGTAAAAATCTCACAGTATAGTATTATTTGTACTAATATATTAATATACAGAATAATCTTTTAGATTTCTAAAAAAATGTATATATATGAATGTTAATACTGTACATTGTGTATGTGTAGGTGAGGACATGAGATCACCTGGAACTGTAGTTACAGATGGCTGTGAGCCACCACAGGGCTACTGGCAATCAAACCCAGGGATTCTGCAAGAAAAAAGGGCCCCCAACCACTCCAACCCCTACATAATAAATTTTAGAGTCTAAAAAGATATACATACAACTAACAGTACTAACTTCAGGGTAGTGGGTTTTCAGTTGAACTTCATGCTTATTTACAATTTTCTAGAAGATAAAAGATCTG